GAGAGGAGGCACGCTGCTTAAGGCGGTCTCGATCACTGGCAGGAGACTGACGCCAAAGCTCCCTTGAGAAAGACTCCTCACCTCAATTGGCCCTTGTGCTGAAAACCACGAGCAGAGAAAAAATGTATAGGATGTCTAATAGATGGATGGAGAGAGAAAGGCGGAGAGATAACAGAGGAGATAACATGGGTGTCTGCTAGATGGAGTGATAGGAGAGAGCGAAGTAATATCAAAGGCAAAATTATATTGTTTTTCATATTACCGTCTCCTGATTGCTGTCTCCCGTATTTGAATGCTTGCCCATGCTTTGGTAATTTGCATGTACATTAATCATTTTCAGTGAGAAATGAACTGCCACGGCTGCCTGACGGCTGCAGGGGGAAAAGGCAGTGAGAACGGGCTTCTTGGCTTCAGAAACCCAGCTCAACCCGAATATACTGCCTGAACCCAACCTGGCTGGCCAAGGGGAGATGTAAGGTGCTCATAATCCTACACCATAAATCTGTCCAGCATGCATCATATGCTCTCATTTTCTGAGTGTGTAAGTGTGTGTGTGCATTTATGTGTGTGTGCGTGTGTGTGTCTGTCTGTCTGTCACACTCTCAAATTACTCTGCTCCCCTGAGCCAAGACGGAGGATAAAATATGAATCAGCTGAAGTCTAGGATAGTTTCCAGTCTCTCCAGACTCCCCAACCATCAACAAGCGACACTAGCATGCATTCCTACACATACACACACACACACACACACACACACGCAGGCAACACCACACACTTAGAAAGTTTCAAGTCTCTCCACTTCATGCTAAGCTTTCGTCAAACACGCTCTCTGCTGCACATTTGACATTCATATCCCTCATATTTGACAAGTGTTTCTCTACTGCAGCTGCTGGAGCCTGTGCATAGTGACAGGATTACGAGAGTCTGTCTGTCTCTTTACCTATAAATCAATTAGATAAAGTGATATGATCCAGCACTGTTATAAATACTACTGCCTGTGGAGACAGGGGTTATGTGCCTTTACAGAAGATAAGACTATACATATACCCAGAGAGACATCTTTCTTTCTCTTCTCTTCATTTCCTCACATGCACTTCGTCTTTCCCTTCTCTGCCCTGCAGTCGCTGTCACATTTCTCTCGATTTTTTTTTAGCTCTATCATTTCTGGTCTGTCTGATTTCTTTCATTAAAGGAAGCCACATGACCTCTTGCCCTGCTGGCCCAGCACAGACCCGCTACCTAAAGACACTTTATAAATAACAGTCTAGTCGCTTTGGATTAAAGTGTCTGAGTGACTGCCTGGCACCCTTGCCGACCTGCTGCGCAATCCCCTGGCATCTGACATGCCCCGAGCGCCGGAAAAAACCCTGTAAACACATACAGGGAAAGCTATGTGTTGTACATTAAAGCAGGAAGAAAGCGACAAATTCTTCACAGATGCACTGTGGTTGCAATTACCCAAAGCATACTGTGATATCTTGGAGGCATGCATCACTCATTTTTATTTAAAGCTGATCCATACACTAAAAGCATTTACTTAATGTGGACTTGTGTATCCTATAACTACACACGGTTATACATACAATAAACCAGACCCTCCCAGCATTACATTGGCAGTACGCAACCCCCTTGAAGTTAATCAACTTCAGGGTGCCTACAGGGCAATCCCCACACCAAGATGCATTTAAACCCCACCATTAGAGGCATTATGAAGTCAAAAGCAAGACTACACAGCATTCTCTGCACTGACACGCTGTCAGACCAATCAGCGGGCCCAAACACACATGCCTATAGAAGTAGACAGCCCCTCCCCCTGCACTAGCCCCCACAAAGACACGCACACATACACACACAACACTGCCAACCCTGACGCTTTGTTGCAATTGACATGTGCTTCTCCCACGCACAAATGCAGTATGCGTCCACATGCACCCGTGGATATATTTAGATATAATTAGCCAGAGAGACATAAAACACAACGATAAATACATGGCTTCAGAGACAATCGCTAACTTCAGTTCAGCATCCAGCAAATTCCAATGTTGGATCGGCTTAGTTTCCGGCCAAGTCGCCAGGGGAAAATGTGGGCACTGTACATTTCTGCAGAGCACGGATGTGTTACTTTTGTACGTTTTATACGTATCATATCAACATTTCTAAAGTGACGTAGTTCTAAATACATATTGGCTTTATCATCAGGAGGTGGAGGGGATCGTGGGTAGCGTGACACTGCAGGCCTGATTGTTATTTAGCAACACGTAGCTGCATTTTCAGCCACGACTGTGCCACCAAAAGCGAGTATCTTAAGCCAAAACGATCTTTTCCTCACCATAACCAAGTGGTTTTTCTGCCTGTTAACAACATCACTGCTGAAATGTAAAGTTCAACATATCTGCTTCATGATAATTTAAAAATGTAACATATCCCTGGTTTGCAGAACTGTACAACGCCACCATTCATCTTGGCAATTGGGTTACTGTTACAGAACATTGGAAAATAGAGGCCAGTGAAGTCACCATTAATCTACACCTCAGGAGTGACTGTGGAAAGTGTAATCAGGTTCACAAGTACACAATTCTATGTAACTTCCCTCCAGTAAGGACGTGATTAGGAAGGCATGACCTCAGAATACTGCAGCCTTCCTAGAAGTCAGAAGCCATTAGGTATTTATAGGAGCTTAATGGCACTGTCTAGGTGTATTGGCTGTCTAGCACCCATCATCAAGCCATCAACCCCAACCCAACCCCCCGCCCGCCTGCCTCCTACGCAAACTGCCAAGCTATACCACTTAATTTCATTTTATTTCATCAGCAGCTTACCAACAATTCTTTTATCTTTTTTTTCTCTTTCCCTGCCACAACAACAACAGAACAGCAGACTGTTTTGCATCCAGTGCTTTGCTCGTGCGTGATATTGTTGATTGAGATGAAAATGTAGTGGATGATACAAGTAATGTTTCCCAACTCGCAAATGCTGCTGTCAAATATAATTGCCTGATATGATTGTAAAATTACATGTATGAGAGTGCACCTGTGCTGTGCGCAAGTGAAGAGGGGAGGTAGTGTGTTTTTTGGCTGCTGGGTTCAGGGGTTGAAACTGAACATGTGACTTCATATTAACCTTGTCAAGCTTGGTCTTTGCTATTAAGCTCTCGTGAAACAGAAAACGTTTTATGTGTCCGCACCCTTTTTTTTTTAATTCCGTAACTATCTTAATGAAATAATTTGCATGTAAATTTCTGTCACATTCCCAACAACAACAAAAAATATTCCACAGTGCTTCATTTTGTATTCAAAAGCCTGCAAATTTAAATGGGATTCTCATTTGACGAGCCAAGTTCACTTAAAAGTTGAACACAGTTATTGCAATAGCCAAGGTAGACGGTTGCATCAGAAATTAGGCTTGTACTGTACATACACAAAAGCTGCTGAGTGAAAATTTCCATATGCTGGCTCCTGTTTGTACATGTGACTCCTAAGTGTATGTTTACATTACTACTCTGCCTCTGACTGAAACCAGGTCAGCCCTGTTACTGACATTATGGCTGCCTGCTTTAAACGACTTACCTAATGCCCCGTCATTACCTGGAGTGGGCCCCATGTCTCGCCGGTGGCCTGAAATAGCCCGGGACCTCAGACTGCCACTGTCAACCCCCTCCTAATTTGCAGTTTCATAAATAGCAGACTAGGACTTTGGCACTAAAGATAAAGAGGCCCTGTGGTTGAAGGCTCATGGTGCAACTGCGAAGTCTACCTGGAGACACACCTTAGCAGAGTTCACTTTAATGGGACAGGCTTAAGGTGTCAAGTCAGGTGCTTGTGATTACGGCTGAACTCCAAGAGGTGACAGAGTCTGCGTTATGCAACACAACAAGTTTTGACAACAGACTGGTTTCTCAGAAAGGCAAAAATGTGAATGCATGTCGTTGGACATGTGCCACTATTTTGGTCTTTGATTATATTTGATGATATAAATGACACGCCTAGATAGTTTTGGGCGGGTAAAAATCATGTGCCTGCCAACTGAAGAATTCTTCCTCTAAGTATTTAATGGGATAAATTTAACAATCAGCATTAACGGTCTATTCAATCTTGGGTTTATGTAAGGAAACAGGTGGGGCGAGCCAATGTGAGGTCCTGTTCAGTGATCTTGCCTCAGTAAAAACCAGCCTTGAGCAAGATTCCGATGAGAGACGACGCATCCGCAAGGAGCTACCTGCCTCTAACTTCTCACACATTGCCACAGTATTTTCAGAAGCAAACTTAACATCCAGTCTCAAGGTTTCATCTCAGCAAAGGTGCACCATGAGGACAAGCTCTGCTGATCTCCCCTGCCCCTTCTCCCTGTCCTCAGATGGCCATAATGAATAGGAGCATGATTAGGCTGGGAGCAGAGGCTGATAACATGGGCAGAGGTCCAGGAGGTTACTCCAGGCTCTCAGCCAGACGGGCAGCGGTGGTGGTGGACTGTGGTCAGTTGTGAGCACCCGTCTGAATATTTACATTGTGGACAGCTGACCCTGGGATCTCCCACTACAAGTGTCCCTCTGTTGGTGTGCTTTTTAAACTGATAAATGTGTGCTGCATGAAAATGCATTTGAGGAGTTTATTCTCTTTAACTGCCTCATTTATTCGCAGCAAATCTGGAGATAAATCATTAACCATTGTGGTCCTGCTCCTGGTGAAGGGATTTCATGCACTACTACGGACGCTGTTGCCCATCATGAGCGAAGCCCAGTTACACACACACAGCAAGTGACTACACTCCAGTCTATTACATCCTGCCATCAATGATCTATTAGACTGACTGACGGCAGTAATGAACTAAGACAAGATAACGCATGGCACCATTCATGCGTAACCGACACGGAATCCCACGGTGACATGTGTATGGCACGAGAGGTGAAAAAACCATAATGGCTTAGTGAATAGGAATGATACTATCTCTAGACACTCTGTGATTAACACGTCAAAACCCCCGTCGTGTGTTTCACTCCTTACCTTCCAGCCAGCTGAGCTATTACTGTCGCCCTTATCCTTGAAATAGGGCACATAACGGACCATCCAGTCGTATATCTGTGACAGCGTGAGTCTCTTTTCTGGGGTGCTCTCGATGGCGCGGGTAATGAGATCCGCGTAGGACTGGTTCCCCCACGCGTTCCGCCGCGAGGATTTGGCTTTGCGCAGCGGTCCGGTCACATCGAGCGCCGCGCCAGCCAGGCATGGGTGCGTCGCGCCTGTGGGTGCCGGGGCGCCGGCTGGATGCTTCAGCTCTCCCGGCGTTCCGCCCACGAGCCCCGCTATGCAAGCCGGGACGTCCTCCGGTTCCACCTTGATGTTGGCCAGTGGAAGACCCCCGCTGACCTCGTGCCCACCGGGGAAATCCTCCGGGCATGGCAGCGGCCAGGTGCACGAGCGAGGCCGGCTCTGCGGCTCGAAATCCGAATCAACCTGATGAGCGTCTAATTCGTCGTCCTCCATCATCAACATTTACCCTTCAGTTGGGAGAAATGGAATAAATCAAACGGGAGAGCAAGGGGAGGGAAATACCTCCACGATCCGCGTATCCAACTGTCTTCAGTCTCACTTCACGTTGAAATTCGCCTTGTAATACTGCTATTAAGCTTACAGTCCGAATCAATAAGAGGCAATTCAGCAGAGTAAAAGGATCATGATGAACACAAGCAGAATCACAGCCTCGCGTGTAGAGACAAGAGAAGTAATAAAAGTAATAATAATTCTTCGTCCATTTTACCTGGAGTGAAAATATCAAGCCGTGATTAAAAAACGCTTCTTATTCAACAGTCCACATCACCTCAGAGCGGTGAAGCTCAAACGCGTGTCAGAGCCAGACATGGGGGCTTTTCAATCCAGTTGCAGCAACAGATGATATTTCAGATAAGGAGCATATTTGCAAAGCAGTCGTCGATAAATCCTCCAGAAGACAACAGGAAGAATGGGGGGAAAGAAGGGGAGGAAAAAAAATCACCAGAGCTGTGTTGAGAGCATCCACTGAGGCGATAATGCGTGATTACCGTGAATTATTAAATCTTCCAGTCTGCACGGATTAAGCTGGCAGCGGCACATTCAAGTCCATTCAGCCTGAACAGCACCCAACTGTCTGCAATTATAATGAAGAGGCGTGCGCATGTGACGAATCGATAAATTCCCCAGTCTGGAAAACATAAAGAAGAAAAAAAATAGTCCAGCGATCAAAATTTCGTATCCACTTGTCAGGCTGATAAAATAGTCTTTTATCACACCTCCTCTTGCTCCCCTCTATCCCCCCTTGCCTTTTCTCACTCTCTCAGATCCCACACATGTTCTCATTTGCTTACAACTCGTTCCGTCGATGTGAACCGAGGATGACGCGCCGGCGCTGTAGTGGAGATGCTGCCAATTGGAGTGCGCTCACGAAATCAATACTCTCCTAACATGATTACAGCGAAATCCCGAACTCTCTCTCTCTCTCTTCTCCCTCCTCTCTGTTTCCCGCCCTCTCTCTCTAGTCTCCACCATCCCTGATATGAACGGAGGGAGCAAACCCCAAATTCTTAATCAAAACTCTGCATAATAATCTTTATGGCGGCGCGTCACCCGGCGCTTTGTGTGCCAGCCACCACGTCCAGCGGTGATAAAACAGGACAATGTGGAAATTACACAAGGGGAAATTCCCTCATAATCTCGACAAGGTTTGTCTTTTAAAAAATACAGTGTCTGATCTGCCTTTGTGCGTAACAAATTGTCCCGTGCAACGTGCGCAGCGTCCAAATGCCCTCCAGGCTGAACTCACGGCGCGCAAAAGGTTTCACCTCTGCTGATTATTTGCGAGCTATACCTCAGCCAGTGTAATTTTCTATGCCGATTAGACAGATTTAGTCCAGATTAAAAGAGATTAGGTAACCCTAGATTTTAATCCGGGGAGGAGTGAGGTGAAATGGGGCTTTTCAAAGGCCAGATTGAAAGATCATCTCCGCTCCGCACTCCAACCAAAGTGAGGAGGCAGAAAAACACTTGCACGTCGACGCCAAAGACACGCTGCTCTGGCAGCAGTGGTCAGAGCCGTGTGTGTATGTGTATGTGTGCGTGTGTGTGCTGGATGGGGTGGATGAAGGGGATTCCGCCCCTCCGTCCCAACACCACCCCCTCCCAAAATCTGACAGCAGGGCGGGCGCACAGTCAAAGGTGCTCGAAAACCATTGGCTGTTTATTTCACACATAAATGTCATTTTATTTTTTATTTCATCCCCACACTGCCCCTCACCTTTCACCCTTTATACAAAAGATTTGCTGAGCTCACAAGCTATTCAACAGCAACAGTCTGCTTCGCATTTTTATGCACATTCACACCTGTTATGTTGATGGTTGCTGTGGGGACAGTATTACTTATTCATGGACTTTCACAGGCAGTCCTACATGCTCACTCTGCACACTACAATTTCTGATAATATTTGGAAGTTAGGCTGCTCCATGCGAGCATTTTAGCCACCCATGCATAATCACTATGACCTATGGGGGCATGTTAGTATGAATGGACTGCTGTCAAAACATTCAACAGCAAAATGGGGAGGGGACTCTACTCATAGTTGAAATAAACCCCCCTCATATTTTAGAGTGACACATTCGCAGGTCACGAGCGCCATCAAAACAAGCACCTGTGCAGCAAGGTGCCTGAAACTGTCTGAGGGGGCCCGCCCTCGTCGTGCCAAGTGCGCATTGGAGGGAAGCTGTATTTAAAAGTTGCTCAACGCGGCCACACTGTATGCGCTCAGGCGTGACTGATGTTGAGAAATGTGTGTCAAAAATAGCACACTTTTAAAGCGGGAGGATGTGTCATAGTGTGTCATGGAAATGACTTAACGCTGAGCATCAGTGGGATCAGATGGTTAAAATGCCATGTTGCTAATAGTTTGCGTAAAAAAAAGTCCCCAGGCCTTATTGCACTCACAAATTTGATTCATGAGAAATTATTTATTATATTGTAATCATCATTTGGTCAGTTAAATTTGTGCCAGGAGTGGAAATCTAAGGTGCTACTTGTGACACTGGTTTGCAAATAATTCTCCTGAGTGCCAGAGTTTTGGTGACACAGTACCACACAATGGATCTTGATTACACATACAGTGAAAGAAATGTAATTGCGAAGACAAATGGCCAGATTGAGAGGCTCACAGCAGGACTGGATCTCCAGAAAAACAAGACTCAGAGGACACAGAGAGGAGTCAGACAGACAGAGAGGAGGGAGGCCCGGGCAACACGACTTTAAAAACTACATATATGTTCGGTCCCTTCCAGGCTGACTGCTATGCTGTCCCCATACCAGACATTCCAGAGGCAGCGTGGCTGGCTTCAGGCTCTGAGTGGCTGATCCTGGAACAGCATGTTCTGCACAACAGTAATCACCTCAGCCAGCCACAAGCAAGGCAGAGCACCACATCAACAACAAGCAGAGCTTTGTGCCTGTCAATTTGCACCCTGAAAAAGTGCTCTGGAATCTCATTCACATGAGGAAAGGGACACGTTTTTTTCCCACCCATTTCCGCAAGGCCCATCCTCGTTGCCTTGGCCCCTGCCACTCCAGACGTCCCTCGCAACCCTCATGATGTTGTGCAATTTATCCCTGCAACCCATTCTGCCCAGTGGGATTAGGACGAGAGGAAGCTGGAGAAGCCACAAGAACACCCTTGGGAGATCGATGCCTGTTTGGGAAAACACTTCCCCTGGTTCTCCTCCCCTCTCAGCACAGAACCCACACTCTCTAACAAGCATATGGGCTCCCAATGACACATGAAGGAGAGGGCTCAAATCCAAGTATTGGGAGCATTCCTGAGTAGACGAAGCTGGATTTCACCCCTTCATGGCACTGGCCCAAAGTAGGATGACTTAAAGACTTCCTGCCCCAAGCAAGAGCCAGCTTTCTGTGGCATCTTGGCATGTGCGCCGCTGCCAACTATGAACATTATGTTCAGAGGCAGCAAAGACAATTGGTGCCAAGAGTTTTAATTAAGACTGTGTTGTGTGGAATGGAAAGTAAAGGCATGTGCAGGTAATGGCATCTCTCCCCATTTCAAAAGGTTTAACAAAAAATGATTAACTAACACTATCTGCCTTAGCCAATTAATTATATTTAACAACCAAAGACCCAGAACAACCAAATGGCCTGATGAGGAAAATCAGTGTGCTCTGCTCTCGTACCCAAAAGAGCGGCGAGCGTAATTGTATTTTAATAAATCGGTGATGTCAAAGATGCTTCAAGAGAGTGGAGGTGAGTGGACAGTAGCTAAATAACGGTGCAGGTGTGTGTGATACACAGAACAAACTAGGGCAATACTATTGTACTGTGTTGCCTTTTTCCACAAAGAATCTATGAATTAATGATTTTAATAATTTAGGTATATTATCCCTATATAAATCTGAATATCTATATATAAAGTAGCTGATTGCAGTTTATTAAATGGGAGGATCTGCTGCTTTTCTCTGATTTAAATCATTTTAAATTTGATTTGTAAAAAAGAAAGTACTTGCAGCTCTGCTACAGCAGTTAAGCTTTCAAGAATTCTGTAAATAGCAATGCCCATATGACCCTAAACTCACGGATTTATCATAACTGAGAATAACAATCCCACAATGAAAAGCAATCAGTTTGATGATCAATCACAAACTGTAACCTTAACCCCTTATGAAACCATTTTCATACAGTTCTCAGAATTTTTGCATGTGTGTGTTGGGAGATGGTATTGCGCTCCTTTTAGTTTCTTGAAATAAACCATGCAGAATATCATATTGCCTCCAGCAACGACTTAAATCCCTCACTTGTGCAAGTCAGTGGTTGGCTACATCCACAATAGCCGAGAAGGCCTGATGCCAAGACACTGATTAGCCTAACTCTGCCTCTGTTCTCCAAGCAATGTGGAGTGGAGGTGCAGTGGGAGTCCAGCTCATCACCAAAGAGCACTGTGCTAAACACAAGTTTAAGTGGAAGAAAGCCAGCAGACTGTAGTGTATCCATGCTGGACATATAAAGCCTTGGGCAAGGAGGCATCTGCCTCTTTAATACATAATTCACTCAGAGCTGAAACATCATGCTTTAGTCCTAAGGGCCAGTAGTCTACTTGTGGTTGTTGGAACATAAAACTGTCTCCATCAGATAACGCGTCTCTCATTGACGGGCAACTTTGTGTACAAAGTACCAAACTTTAAAATTCAATTTGAGCGCAGATCGGCTCTGCCTTCGAAATCCCTTGGTAACATCTCAAAATGAAAAATGGTTTTCAAGGAGCATCAAATGTATATGGAGGCAATGTCATCTCACCTTTCCACCTCAGCGAGCTTGTCCTCATCAGCTGTGATATACAGGTAGGTCAACATGTACAGACAGCCATCTGCCCTCCAGCTCTCCCTTCAGACATGCACGCGACCACTTTACATCGCAGCCCCTGCAAATGCATCTTCCTGTTGGGGGTATTATTAGAAGCACTCATGTCTTATTGCCCACATTATTATCATAACTGACAGGATGTGCATTAGTTACTTCAGTCTCTGCAGCACATCGGCCATAATGTTGACACACGAGTGTATGAGCCATTTTGGAATTCAGCACGAGGAGAGAAGAACCTGAGGCAGCTGTAGTGCTTTCACGTGTAATAGTCCCAGCTCAAGTTCCCATGAAAGAGGCACTAATGGGTTAACAGTAGAAATGAGAGGGGAAGAGAGGGAAAATCAATGCTTTTGTTGAGGGGAAGAAAGAAAAGCTTTCACAGGTCTATGTATCATTAAGCAATTGAGAAAGCTAATTAGAGTGGGGGGAAAAGATGTGCAGATCTCACAGCTAATTATTTCCATGGCAACCACAGCTCCTGTAGATGATCGGAGGTAGCTCAGCTGGCAGGACAGGCAGTTACATGAAGAGCAAGAGAGACCCCTAGTGGGGAAAAATGAATGTGTTCATGAGAAGCTATAGAATCAACATAAGATATAAAAAGTAATAGCTTTAAATAAAGAACACAAATAAGATCACATTTTTAAAAAAATTTATGTTAGGTCTTTATGCAACATGCACCATACTCTGGGAAGAGTCACTATGGTTCACAGGTCTGCTAGTCTGGGTCTTCTAGTTCAGGTTAAAGACAAAGTGTGATCGAGCCGTTTCAGTTCTTGCTCCCCGGCTTCGGAACAGCCTCCCACTGAGCATCAGATCAACTGACTCTGTTCACGTCTTTTAATCTCATCTGAAAACTTTGACAGATTGGCCTTTTCTGACAGTTGACAGACTTATTGTGTGTACGGGAGTGTATGTATTTACAGCTGTGTATTTATGTATGCATGCTTACAGGTATGTATGTGTTTAAGTGTATATGTTAGTGTAGGCGTATGTAAATGCTTATATTTTATTAGTATCCCTTTTGTTTTGTATTATCTGCACACTGGAAAGTACTTTGTGCTTTCAGCTCAAAAGGTGCTCTACAAATAAAGTTATTATTAATATCACAAATATAAAAATATAAATTAACTAAAAATCAGTTTAAAGGTCCAGTGTGTAGAATTTAGGGGGATATATTGGCAGAAATGGAATATAATAAGCAAGTTTTCTTTAGTGTATAATAATCTGAAAATAATTACAGTCACATTTTTATCCTCTCAGAATGAGCCTTTATAACTACATAGCAAGCGGGTCCTCATCCACAGAGTCCACCATGTTGCAGTAGCCCAGAACAGACAAACCAAATACTGTCTCAAAATAGGGCCATTCGTGTTCTAGCGCTTTCTCAACGGCAACCATAATAAGTAGCTGTTCCACAAAGAGCCCAACCGTGTCAGAAAAACACTGTTTTTTAACATGAAACGGCTTTATTCAGTGTTTTTACCAATTTAAATCAACTTGTCCATTTTTTTTTTTGGAAAGAGGAGACCTCTGAGGATAATTCTGCTAAACGTCTGGATCTTAACCCTATGGGCCCTAGTATTTTTACTGCCTTTACTTTTAAGCTCATATCTCAATCATTATAAAGGCTACATACACATGCTATATCTTGTTTTTTTTTTCAGGACAATCTGAGCTAACCAGATTTCATGTCCTTCTATGTGCCTGTATTTTATATTAATTTTTATATAAATGAAAAAAACAAATCCGTGTAACTAAATTCTTACATTTTTACATGCATCTCACCATAGCAAGTTGGAAGAAGACATATTCTGCCATATATGAAGAGGGGAGACTCTCTGGAATCTGGCAATATAAGAACCATGATGTTGGGACATTCTGTCACTTCACAGCTGTCCAAAACATGTGGTTTGTGCCAGGCGGACATGATTGCCAGTATTTTTTCATTATTGCAAGAAATTCCATCGATTCATTCACAAGTCAAAAATGTGTTTTATCTGAAAGAAACATGCAATATTTACATCTAAGATCATAGAAAAATAGTCAACCAAGTGCAATGATGTCCTCCAAGATAATATTTGCCACTTTGTTTGCAGTAAACAAAGTTTGTTGTTGTTTTTCAGTTTCAGTTATATATTGGGGGGCATTTTGAGCATTGGGGGGGGAACACATGTCCCCCTCAATGTATATGGTGACTACCTCCCTGTCAGCATGCATAATTAAGCTGCAGTTGTCCGGGTGCGCAAAGGTGAAGTGGCTGGTCTTGTCATACAAAGTTTGATGGAGTGTCAACTGGACAATATGGAGATATCTGCATCTTGAAAGCCGTTTTTTAATTTTGTTTTTTTGGGAGAAACACACGCAAGCCTAAGACGTGGTAAGATACAATATTTCTCACTATATGAAGTGACTGATAACAAGATCTCTATAATGGGTTGTGAAGAAATTTGTCAGGTTTTTATTTTGTAGACAATAAATCTGTATTTATAGCATGATGGGATGACAGTACAATGATGTGTGATATCATTGGAAAGCTCTGCTCCTGCGCTTTCATGTGATATGTGTGGCATTTCTGTGCGAGCCTGCATTCGCGAGTAATCCATCCAAGAGTAATGTGTGTGCAGAGCTGTATGAAAGCTCTGTTATTCATGATTTTAGTGTAACTTTATCATTTTTTTTCGCTATGAAAACATTGGACTACCGACAAGTGCTTGGCCTTGTCGGAAAGCTACAATTTCGCTGTTTCACGTGATATGCGTGGCTTCTCCCTATGACGCACCGTCGCGGAGAAAATCAATAGAGAAGAACAGGTGTGAATTTGGACGCACTATGCGTCGATCGGGCCCATAGGGTTAAGTTATTGGAGACAAAATGTGAGCACACATTAGCAGGTGCTGGGATAGCGGCCTGTCTGCAACGAGCCCAAAATCTGCAAACTGTATTATGTAGTGAAAGAGTGATAAGCTTAACATGTCAAAACTCAAAACTATGACAATTCTTTGGTGGAAACTGATGATATGCTGTAATATTCTGTAGTAACTGTAGAGTCATGCTGGTGAAGGTTCTTAGTCATCCAGTTCATGTTAATCCTAAGTGCTTATTATAGAAAACCGGACTCTCTTAGCTTTAAGGGGGATTTGCTTCAGTTCACGAGAGGTGAAACATCTTCACAAAACTCAAGGAAGTCTAGTTGCCTATGATATACCACTTAGGAATCGTAGAGTCATTTTCCCACTCACATAACAAATTTACCAAGAGCGTAAATTTTAAGCCAAAGTTGGACTGTATTTAATTTTAGTTCGAATGTAAACAATGTTAAAAAAAAAAAAAAATGAAGTCTTATTGGTCCATAGTGGTCACAGATGACTTGACCCTTAAAATGTTCACATTTAGTGTCTCTGTTTGCTGGGGTCAATCTTCTCCAGGTGAACCAGGGGTTTAAGTTGCTCAGCAAAGCTGCGCATATCCTCTGACACAGTGTCCTGCCCGGCGGGAGCCAACACACTCAGCTCCACCAGGTATGAAAGTGATAGTCGCTCTGTGTTCTCTGTGTTACCTGGTACCAGGATGCGTGACAGCTTGCTGACCACAATTTTCATAGCCCCTTTGCGGAATATGTGCCCGTTGGCCACAAACTCATGGTCCATGCGGAAGCCCATCTCGTTGAGGAACTCCGGCAGGCTTTGAGAGGCAGCTACGTCAACACAGTTGCGCACCAGGGCATGGCGGCTCTTGTCACCCACTTCAGGTTGGCCTAGGTAGCGTAGGTGCCATGGTGATGTGGGATGGGAGAGGGAGCGCCGGGCACGCAGAATGAAAGGGTTCCCTTGTTGGCCTTTCAGAAGATAAACCAGTTCGTGATCTGTGAAGGTCTCAGGTTCCATGTTGTCACAGAGACCTCGAAGGCGATGCAAGAGGCTTTCCAGGGCCTGGTCTAACACACTGCCTGCATTGATAAAGGGTAGAGAAACAGATGCATGAATACATTAACAACATAAAAACAATGTGGTGTGATGATGTGGACCGCACAAGATATTGTATTTAAAACTGCAGTCTCAATATACAGTACATTTACATAAGAAACATAAAGGCTCCAACATTAAGACAGCTGGATATCATTAAGGAAACAGGAAGGAAATGGGCCTTTGTCACAAACACAGCAGATGTTCTTCAATTTTGTCTGTTTAGGGTAAGGATCTGCTGTCAATATATCATGCTGGCTATGACACAGTCTATATAACAGTGCAGAAGTGTAAGAAACTGAGGGGATCACTTCTCACTGGAGTTGTACCTTCTATAATTCCATGTGACAAATAAATAACTGATTGATTATCACACAGAAACAACCAGTCAAAATTCCCTCTATTACTCAAGGATACAAAGAAGGTTGCTGCATGTTCAAAACCACTCTGACACCGAACATTTGTTTCAAGTTAAAGGTAAATATATATGGGAAATAGCTCAAATATATAATACACAAATGCCTGTCCTATAACCATAGATTTATCCATGCACAAAAATATATACAAAACACATTTTTGCCATTCTCTTTTGCAATATTTCATTATATATTTAACGACAACAGTAAACTTAACAGATGGCTCACACCTTAACACTACCCTCTTGTAAATATAAGCTCACAGAGGCACAGGCTAAATCAATCATAATAATCTAATAGATGTGTCCAAACCCTTATCTTTAATTTCTCATCCACCTGCACACTTAATAGCTATTCTGAGTGATAATAGGAACACTGTGTTTTGACTCTTTCCTGTTTTGAGCATTATAGTGATACATGTAGTTATCTTAAAAATAAAAACTGTGATTTACTGTCTATATATGCACCACCTTCAGACATATCCACATGCTAAAGTAAGGATTTATCACATCTCATTACACCATGCGAGTACTGCATAACACCCATCAGTAGTAGGGTAATATTTGGAGATGTTACATTTAGTGTCCTCAGCTGTGGAGGTCTCTACCGTTAGCATACCTTGCAGCAGGTACTCCATCATATTGATTGTGCCCCCGGTGACAGGCATCACGGTAACAGGAGGAGCTTCCATCTTCTCTCAGACACCGAGTTGTTTTTGTCTGTAAGGAGGAAATATTCATAGTTAACGTTAAAGCGGCAGCGTTTTCATTTGACCGTCTCAACTTTTAACACGCAATGTTAGCCAAAGTTAGCTAACTATAGCAAGCTAGGTAGCTAATTCACCTAGCTAACAGCTAACTCAGTCTCCAGAGTAGCTTGTTTAGTTAACGTTACCTGAGAAATTACAAAATGCAGCTGTCCTCTTGCTGGGAAACAAACGTTGGTCTTCGGTAGAGCCTCCACAATAAATACCGAGGATGCGGTAACGTTAGGCCTCACCGTGCTCGTTCAGTGAACAAACGGCTGGTAGCTAACCTGCTAGCTAGCTAGCAGCTCCCTAAGCTATTCAGTTAGCCACTCCGTAAGCTGTGTTATCTAAATTATTACCGTGCTTTCAAAGTCAGTCAAGTTACTGAATGGGGTGACAGATATCTATATTTGAAAGCAGAGCCGGCTTAAACAAAAATAGCTCAGCTCTTCGGTTTGTTATCAGAGAATGAATGACCACAGCACCGGTGAATGAGGCTCATACTTTTCTCTTTCTGGTGTTTCTCATAGCGGTTGTGGTTGTCGTCCAACTTTATGGTGCATTACAGCCACCTACTGGTGTACACATATTTTCCTGTCGTTATTTTCCTACAGAGCGAGTGTTAGTTGCCTGATATCAGACAATTGTCAACTTGTTAGACTCTGTTTTATTCGACTTCAGGTTAATAGAAGCCGGACAAAGAGGCTCAAAGAACAGTTTCTTTCCCTGGGTCATCAGAACACTTAACTCCAACACCACACACACACACACACCACAGAGAATTACCATCATCTGCTGAGCACTCTACCCTTCAACCCTCAACATTTAAATGCAATGCAATACACACATTTTTAAGAGAAAAATCCATCCTTTTATGCATATTTGTTTATTTTAAGGATCCCCATTAGCTGAATGCCTTGGCAATCAGCTACTCTTTCTGGGGTCCACACCTTACATACAATATATTACACTACATTACATATAAAACATACAATTTCATCAATTTACATTATAAAATACAAAGCTTATGTTTATATTAAAGTTAAACAGAAAAAAAGAAAATAAAGAATAAAGATTGAGAAAAAAAAGGAAATACATTCAGTTCACATATCTGTTCTTGTATAGTATTTTTTTATTTTCATATTTATTGAATGAGTGCTTGTCTGTCTTAATTTGTCCTATTACTTGCACAGATTGCACTGACTAGAAGTAGCTAGTAGCTAGTAGTTAATGTCATTGTACAGTGACAGTAAAGGCTTTATATTCTATTCCATTCTTTATAGTTTGCCTGACTTGAACTCAGAAGAATGGGCAGATTCAAAGGTCTGCAACCAGACAAAAGTGATGGAAAAGGTGAATTACTGCTGCTTTAAAATACTTAAATAAAACCCCTGCATATAGATTTCACCTCAGGTAGTAAGCTAAAAGTACAATCAGTAAAATTTCCTCCAGAATTAAAAATAAAAGTCCTCATTGTTCGTTTGTGTTTATGGCTGAACGCCATACATAAAGCATTATTTGTGGCAAACTTAAGTTTCTCATTAAAATTCTTCGGAACAAAAGCCTATAAATATTTTGTCTCGAAACAGGAAATTGTGGAAAGAATTATCATGTGTTTAATAAATTATTTTTTATTGTGAAGGGAGCTCAATCAGCTTTTATCACACTTGCCGCTTAGATCATTTCACCCAGTTAGGAAACTTTATAATTAAAAAAAAAGGCCAACATTATGCTTGAGAATTTCCCCTCGCTTCCTTTGGTAACTTTTCTCTATATTTTTATTTCACTATACACACAACTACTGTCAAAGTAAGTCATATCAATGTTTGTTGTCTTAGCAGGTCTCCTGATGACAATGGATGAGTAAACCACTGGCGTCTCCTCTTCGACCTGCAGTAAGAAGTAAGAAATTCCATTACCTAAACAACAACAACACATATGAGACTAGGTTCATCATCATCCTCATCAAGTAAACTTACCCTGCCATTCAAGCCACAGCAACAAACATGAACAGGAAATGCTTTGAGGAGAAAGATACAGAATTAGGAGGGGGCCCACATGCGTAGCCCAATGTGAAATATCTGTTTCTGTTTCCAGGCAGCAGACCACTGAACAAACAAAGAACAGGAAACTCAACAAGACAAAGAGCTTTATATCTTACCTGCCTGCAGTCTTGGCCGTAAGTACCAAATTATCAAAAGTGCTATTAAAATAATACACACAAGGGCTACTGATGTCCCATAAATAACTGGAAACTGATATTCAGGCTCTGTAGGTACACCTGCAAAACCAAACACACAAGAATTAATATTCTTTTAATTAAGGCCACAAACTCCTCTAAGAGAGATACAGCAAAATGCTCACCTGTTGTGCTGTGTAATGTATCTGACGGTCCATGAGTGCTGTTGACTGCACTGTGTCCTTTAAACATCTGCTTTACAGTGCAATTTAAAGACCCATGTGGATCTACAAAAACTGATATTGTCCTTGTGCCTATTTCCGCATTTAATGTGCTGTTATGTGTGATGGTTCTGAATTCCGTGTCACACATAACAGCACAAGAAACAGATGAATCCTCACTGTCGTCTACTGTAATATGGAAAAAATATATTGTAAGTTGTACTGTTCAATTTTGGTGTAAAACATGTTACGTGTTATTTTCTCACCTGTAATTACACATAAGTTGATGGTGAGTAGCTTCTGACTGTGACCATCACATCCACTTTTCCAGCAGGAATATTTCCCAGCATCTGCTCTTGTGACATTTACAATGTGTAGAGACTTGTAGGAAGTCACAAAGTTTGATTCTGGTTTTCGTAGCGAGTTCCTGAGCGCAGTCATGCTACTTGCTTCAAATGTCCATTTTAAGTTAGTCAGTTTACTCGGACATGAATAAGTGAAAGTGCTGCCTGCAATAATGTAGACTGTCTTAAGAGATTCTTTGAGAATTTCTGGAAAAAAAAAAGATAGATTTTTTTAATTGATGACAGGTAAATGCACAGAACTGCATACACAAAGTAGTTGGGTACGTTAAAAGAACAAATCATGACTATCACAATAGATCTGACCTTTCTTCACGCTGATGAATGATGAGGGCTGTTTTTTCCGACAACTATCTTGAAAACAATGTTTACACCAGTAAAGGCCTTGATCATCCTCCGTGAAAGGATCAATAACCAAGGAACCATCGGGCAGAACCTTCCCTCTGGGGCGAAAGAGTGGCTGAAGGCGTTCTATTCCGTTTCTGTCTATAAGATATAACTGGATTTCTTTGCGATCTTCATCTTTCTTATAAATCCATTTTAAAGAGTTTGAATCACTCCTGTAATTTTCACAAGGTATCACAGCTTGACATCCCAGCGAGAATTTAAGATTTGTGGCTGCCAACACAAAAAAGTTTTCATTTTACACATACAGTAGCTTTAAAACAGAGAAAATAAGAATAATGTATCATCAAACAACACTCACTTCACAAGACTGTATCCTAAATGTAATATCAATAATGTCATCAGTTACTTACTGTTTCCTGAGGCAAAAGGGGATGAGATCCAAAAAATCACCAGAAAAATAAACCCGTCCTGCATCATGCTGGAGGCACTGAACTCTACTCAGACATAAAGACAACACTGAACAGATGAAGCACCCCCTTTGTGGTTACACTATTGCTAGTCATCAAAACAGAAAGGAGGCTCTGTGTCGCACCAAAAGGTCTTAGATTGAGTGTAACGACTAAAATCGCGTTGACACATCGGAAGTGGGCCACCAGCCAGTGCAGAGGAAATTAACCGTGGCTCTCACCCACACTCTTTTTCTGATGGTGTAGCGTTAATTCCACTTTTTGCATTAGCATAGGTGTTGAGTTACAGTATGTGCAACAAGTTGAAATTCACACTTAATGTCAAACTGTATGAAGTCACTGCTGTTTATACATAGATGACATAATCTGAACATTGTCTGAGTAAAAAAAAAAAAAAAAAAAGTAATTGTATGGCTGATACAGTTTAAGTTTTAACTTAACTGGAATCTCCTGCAGTGACTATTTTATTTTAAGTATTATAACATAGGTCAGTACGTTCTGCAGACATAGTTCAAGAAGTTTATTTGAGTACTCTGAAAGTTCAATGATCATGTGGGTTAACAGAGATCAGACACTAATAACAAAACAACCACAGTGTCTGGAAAGTACAACAATGGAAACGTTTGCATAACATGAACAATATGAATCAGATGTGAGTCACATAAGCACAGCAAGCTCACTAATGCTTGGGATTTTTTTTTAATATTGCTGCCTTAATCATTTATGAACTCTTTAAAGTTTTGATGTTGTAATTTTGCACATTTTCAGAAGTGGGTTAAATATTAATACGATAGCATATTGTAGTTTGAGACTTAGTCAATAAAACCACAAATCTTTAAAATTTTAATTTAGTATTTTGTCCCACTTGAAACTGTTTTAGAGATAAGATAAACCTTTATTGTCTGTCACAAGTAACAGAAATTGAGATGTGTTGACTCAATTGATCATTCCCTTTTTATTAGGCTGTAATTATTCTTCATTTTTCTTTCTTTTACACACTGCCTACTCCACCCCGTAATGACTGCAACCTACTTACCTACTAACTTTTTTTCCCATCCATCCATCTATTTTCATAACCACTTATCCTCTTGAGGTTCGCAGGGGTGCTGGAGCCTATCCCAGGGCGAGAGGCAGGGTACACCCTGGACAGGTCACCAGACTGTCACAGGCCTGACACATAGAGACAGACAACCATTCACGCTCACATTCACACCTATGGACAATTTAGAGTCACTAATTAACCTGCATGTCTTTGGACTGTGGGAGAAAGCTGGAGTACCCAGAGAAAACTAACGCTGACACTTACTTTATATACTTTATTAAATTAATAAATATATACATGATTAAATTAAATCATTATTATTAAAGTCAATTTTTTCACTCGGTTGCCATATACACACAGGCCTGAATACACACACATATACAAACACAAACAGGACCTATACATGCATTAGAGGAGAGATGTCAGGGCAAGGGGGCTGCTCTGGACAGGCATCCTAAGCAGTTGGGGGTTTGGAGCCTTGCTCAGGGGCACCTCGGCTCAGGAGTTGAACTGGCGACCCTCTGGTTCCCAAACCAAGTCCCTATGGGCTGAGCTACTTTTTATCTTTGCACCTTTAGTATGCAGTTTTGCTATTGTAGTGTCGATTTTTTTTTAATCTTTAAAGTATTAAATTTAGTTTTTATATCTTTTTTCTCTTCATTCTTTTCTGTATTCTCTTTTATATTTTATTGCTCTGTAAAGCACTTTGATTTGCCCTTGTGCATGAAATCTTGCTGCTCAAAAATCCTGTGTTTCCATCAGTACGCGAAGTCATCCTTTGACAGACAGGACATGCTCGAGCACATCCTCCTTCCGCCCACTGTCGTATACTTCAGACGCCTCTGCTCAGAGTTTGGGTCCGCTCCATTTCAGGACCCCGGTGCACCGCTTAGAGCTGGAAAACCTGACTGGAGTGTAATCTTACCATGTAATTGTCAGATGGCAAAACAAACGGCAATGTTTGACTGTAGGGTAAAAGCCATGGTGGCTCTCCGAGCTGACAAATAATTACCTGCATATACAGCAGTGTTTACTATGTGATGTAATGATGATGTAAGCCTGAATGACACTTATCAGTTCTCTGTTTTATCAGTCGCCCCTGATCTTTCTGTGTTCGTATGGCCCATGTGGTCGAGCTGACACACACGCCACTCTCGCTGCTGAACTACACATCAAGATAACTGTCATTGTTTGCAGACTCCGCCTCCCCGGCGCTCCTGAGGCGTACCCCGGAGTACTGGTGTCGAGTCGACCATCTGTTTTGACTTTGCTCCTTGTTGTCGCGCCAACACTTGTTGCGTTCAGAGTTTTTCCTCCAGCGACGCACAGACTCACCCGAGATGGAGGCAGCTGAGGCTTTGGTGAAATCTAAGCTGGGCTGGCCTCACATGCATCACTTGTTTGCTCTACTTTGTCTCGTTGCCGTCGTCTATAAATTAACTGTTTGGTACGTCCAGAGAAGAGATATGCTCCGAAACCTTGAGGCTTTCCCAGGACCACCGCGACACTGGCTGTTGGGACATGTTAAAGAGGTAATTTAGTAAAGAGCGCGCAGTAATGTGCAACTCTGTGTAACTGTTATATAACAGTTGTAATACTTGTTATTGCACCCTTTGAAACTGAATTGCAATGTGCTTCACAGTGATAGAGCATGTTTCTGCACACCTAATGTTGACCTTATTTGACCTTTCTGTCAGAGCATACGCAGGTTAAAGTAACCAATCCTATTCTAATCATTGGTATTATGCAGATATTGTTCTATACTCACTGAGTTTCACCCAGTTTGTGTATTATAAAATAAGTGTGATATTTATACCTCACAGTACACCACTCAGTAGGGGAGAGTGGGGTCTGTTGGGACATTTTTGTCATGAAATAACCTTCTATTACTCACAGACTACTTTAAAAGTAATGACAATTGGATGCCTGACCATAAGGGTGGGCGATAAATCAATCATGGCTTGTTCCACATAGGATGTATAAAATGATTATATCATAAACACCAAGCATGTATTGTTGAATCATTTTTTAAAATCACTGGCATGAGACGTTTCTCTTTCACTCTCTCCTATGACTGACACATAAAACGACTCCCAAACATGATGTGTCACACACTCCTCTGCCTTCTCAGACCACGTTCTCATGAGCAATAGTGTGTGAGCAAGTGAAGCATTTGTCTTCATATCTGCAGGGCTCCAGCTTGATACTGTTTAGTCACATGTTGTGACCATGTAACACCAGTGCGATTTGCGATTTCAAAATAAAAGCACCAGTGGTTCCACTTTGATTCATTTAATTAGAACAATACTTAATTTAACTTCATAATAACAGTGCGTTATTTCACTTTATTATAACAGTACTTTATTCAACTTTATAATAACAGTGAGTTATTTGGCTTTATTATGACAGTAGCTCCTTTAACTGTACTGTAACTGTAGTTCAATTAATAATTTTGTATTTTAGTAGTCTGCAGTGGTTTAGAGGAGATTCAAAATATGGAGACACATACTGTGTATTGCGATATAACCGCAAAAATATCGCAATATTATTTTCAAGCCATATCACCCAGACCCACCCGAACGAATACGAGTGTCATCAAGTTTTTTTAGGGTCCAACCTAAATGTGAAGGGCACAATTTTGTTTAATGTACAAGGAGTGCATTTTCCTAAAATTCTGCCTTCCCAGGATAGCAGGGGCAGTTGGTAGGGATGGTTGGAGTCTTGTTCTAAATATATGTATATGTCATTTAAACTGAAGAAAGTGCAGTCTAAATTTGAAGATCTAATTAATACTATGTCACTTGTTCACACATTTCTTCATGGGAGAAAAAAAAACATTGGTAAAATTATTAGGGATGCACCAAAATGAAAATTTGTGGCCGAAGCCGAATAATATTAAACGCTTGGTCGAATACCGAGTACCGAATACCGAATATTGTTGTTTAGTTTTTCATTAGTTTTTGCAGATGAATCCCCTCCAGATTAGTGTTGTCAGGGTACCAATATTGGGACCCACTGTACGATACCAATGAAAATATCATGGTTCTGAGTAGTATCACGATACCACAGCGAAAATGAGGCAGATATGCCTTTTGTCATTTATAAAAAGATAAATCACTTTTCTATAATACACCAATGATATTTCAATGGAATAAATTACTTATTGACTTGTTCATACTTCAAAAACAGCATCAATGAGTGATTAACATAGGGGGGATCCAAATAAAATAAATAAATAAAATAAGAATCAACCAGCCACCCTCCTCCCCTTCATAAGTAACGAACAGTCCCTAAAGTGCGGTGAGGTTTGTGGGCCGTGAACGGCTCGTTTCTCCTCTGACACATCACATACCTGTGTTCGGCTGGCTCGGCTGTTCAGGTACTTCTGGGCAGTCGTGACGCCAAGAAGAGGATATTATGGGAGCCGACTTCTCCATCGCGGTAAGCCGATGGCCGCTGTATTTGACAGGAATACATTACTGTCTGTGTCTGTGACCCCCGTTCAACCCACAACCGATGGGATTCGCCTTTCGTTTCTGCTGGTGGTTGAAAGCTGTAGGTTGCTCGCACAGCGTGCTGAATGATTTAAGCCTATTTTGCTCTCTCAAAACTATTTTTAGTCACAAATGCGAGTGTGGTGGCCACACTGCCGACATTTTACTCGGCCCATCACGGCACGCTGTTTGATTGCGTTATCAAAACACGCCGCTATTATTCGGCCTTGCTTTTAACTTATTCCACCGAATACCGAATGTGTGTTTTTTTTGCAAGTTTTGCAGTTGTTTTTACTTGGCAGTCTGTTGTTGAATCATGTATGCCCTAATGAAGGTCTGACAGACTGAACGCTCGAAATAAAGTACAACGCTGCAGAGATATTAGACTGATTAGTCACCTCTGTCAGTTTAGACATCACTGATAGTTCTCACACTTTAGCAAAGCCAAAGCTGGGTGGAGCGGTAGTAACCCTGCATTATCCAAATGGTTCACAGTAGAAATAAATAATAAAAATAAATGAGTTACAGTTCTGAGGACGACTTTTGAGGTACCTATATGCCTGAAGTACTATTTATTTTTACTTACCCAGACCAGCTTCAACATTAAATGCTGGATACTGCTTCTAACAAGACATGCTTTTATAAAGGATTTGCAGGTTATTAAAGGGATTTAGAAGTATTAATGAATAACATATCATGGTTTTATATCTTTCATAGGCCAATAAAAGGGACACATTCTGAGTTACCAGATTGTATTTAGTTGGTATATCCTCCTTTTTAACAAGTCATTTGGTATAAAGAGTACTTTTACTTTTGATACTTAAGAACATTTTTGACTTTTAATGGACTTTTATGAAAGTGACATTTTGAATGCAGTACTTAAACTTGTGATTGACTATTTTTTGTGTTGTTATTTCTCTACTTTTACTTAACGTGAGATTTAAGTAATACATGTCACTAGCTACTACTTAGTGACACACTGTTAGTAAACATCAGTTCAGTCACTAACACATTGTCCTGTGGCTAACTTTAAGGTGTGGTTAAGCTTCCCATGCTTTTATCTTGTTTTCAGTTTAAACAAGACGGGACAGACTTTGAGAAGATAGTGGAATGGACAAAGCAGTACCCTTACGCTTTCCCATTGTGGTTTGGCCCATTAGTTTCTTACGTCAACATTGTACATCCAGATTATGTGAAAACCATATTGTCATCAACAGGTGTGTGCGCATTTTTTTATCTCTACTGAAATGATGTAACATTATGACAATAAAGTAATTTCAGTGCTTTTTATAATCTCCTGCAGGAACATTGGCTACATTTTTACAACCACAAGTCAATGAAACAGATTTTTTATTTGTTTTTTTCCTAACAGAGCCAAAAGATGATTTTGTGTATGGGTTTCTTGTGTCTTGGATTGGTAAGAGGCCTTCTAACTACAACATATTTTGTGTTATTACAGAGATGTTTTACTGACTGACACACATATCATCTGTCTCTGTCTTCAGGTGAAGGTTTATTGGTGTCAAATGGTCAAAGGTGGTTTCGGAACAGAAGGCTCTTGACTCCAGGTTTTCATTATGATGTTTTGAAACCATACACTAACCTGATGGCAGACTCTGCTAAAACAATGTTGGTATGTATATGACAGTTTAGAAATGTGAATCGCAATTACAGTGAGTTATCAAAGACCATTATGGTGAAGGAATGGTAAGAACAACCGATCTCCTGCAGAGATGTCACATCTGTTCTATTTGTTTTCAGGACAAATGGGAAAGTTATGCAAACACCAGCAAGTCCTTTGAATTGTTCGAACATGTGAGCCTTATGACACTGGACACCATCTTAAAGTGTGCTTTCAGCTACAGCAGCAACTGTCAGACCAAGGGGTGAGTCAATACAAACTTTTTCCCGCCATTCACAAGTTCAGAACTGTGTTTTCAGTTGTTTAAAGCTGTCTGAATTATGAGTGTGGGAAACTAAGTTTTCAATGTTTGCCTATGTTCTCATTTCAGTGGAAGTAATGCATACATCAAGGCAGTTTATGAGCTCAGTGATCTGATTAACCTGCGGTTCAGGACATTTCCATACCACAATGACCTGATTTTCTACCTTAGCCCACATGGTTTCAGATACAGAAAAGTATGCAGAGTGGCTCATGATCATACAGGTAAGATCTTCACACATACTTTGATTAATGACAATATGAAATTTTTGCTACTATCAGTTAAACTGAATTTGATCAGTTTTGGCTTTGGGGGATATTTTATACGTTACTCTGCAAATATTTTTTATCTTGTCTTTTGAAGAGGCGGTCATAAGAAAGAGGAAAGAAGAACTAAAGGAGGAGAAGGAGCTGGAACGCATACAGGCCAAAAGAAACTTGGACTTTCTGGACATCCTTCTCTTAGCAAGAGTATGTTGTGTGATTTTAGATCCAGTTTACTGATTTAAAGCTGAGTTCAGACCAAAGATTCGCAATGAAACAGGTTAAAACATACAACTACTTACAATTCTGCAATGTTTTGAAAGCCTGCCGGTTCAAACCAATAAGCACATACAGTGAGCAGCAGCAGCGACCCACCATCCGACAACGGCACACTGTGAGGACAGGAACAGAGGGCTCGGTGGGGATGGAGCATCTGCTGCAGCAGGCGAAACACGGTGTCTGCAGTCATTTTGACTTGATCAACTGACTCAACTACAAGCTGATTGGCTATTGAAACGGTGATGTGCTTTACGTTCTACAATCAGCCACCAGCGATTTGACCAGAGGATTTGCAGGTGACACCATCCGCCGCCTTGAGTCAAGCTCAGACCAGCCAGTTCACACCGCTGCAACGTTCTTAAATGGTTTTGTCTCGTCGCAAATCATTGGTCTGAACTGGGCTTGAGGAATCAGACTTTCTTGCTTTTGCTTATTGTCGTTAAATTTGTAACAAATCACACACCAAACCGACATCAAAGAGTTAGTGGCAATGAAGGCCAACTGCTGTGCTGCATCTCATCGCCTGTGTCTAAGCCAAAAAGTTGCATCTGAACAAACTGCAAAGACTACAGTCAACTAGGGCATATGTTCTGCACTTGCGTGAGAGGAAAAACCCTCCAGCAGGTTCTTAGGTTGCCACCACATCAGGCACCAACACCCTTATGACCACGACTTTTAGCAGCCACCTCCACAATGGAGGCTTTGAACACGGCCCACTGAGGTTTCATGTCCCCAGTCTTCACCAGGATGCATGAAAAATTCTTCTGGTGGTGGGAGTTGAAGACCTTGCAGACAGGGCCCTCAGCCAGAAGTTCCCAGTTCACCCCCCCTACACGTTTGGGTTTGCCAAACACACATGCAACACAAACATGTATAAAAATGCAAAAGGATAAAGACCATGAAGACGATAAAAACAATGACACAGATACATTTTTTCAAAGATATTTTTTGGGGCCTTTTTAGCCTTTAGTGGATAGGACAGACAAGTGTGAAGGGGGGGAGAGAGAGGGAATGACATGCAGCAAAGGGCCACAGGCTGGAGTCGAACCTGGGCCGTTGCAGCAACAGCCTTGTACATGGGGCGTCTGCTCTACCACTAAGCCACCGATGCCCCAAAACAATGACACAGATAAACAATAAATCATGTAGAAAAACCTAAAATTATACAAGAAATGAATTGGCATAATATCCAAGTGGCAAAATCCCAGTGCAAAAGGAAACACAGAACGCTCCCCTGATGTTCAGCATATCAATGGCCACTGATACAAAGGCAGAAGTCAGGCTTTTTGTCCTCTTTTTTATGAGGCTCTCTTGAGCAGTGGCCTGAAGACAAAAAATATTTCTTTTTAAATAAATAAGACAATACGGGAAAACGTTGGCTACAAAGCTTCTGCTTTCTGTAAACATCCTTATGATTCATGTAGTGTTCCACCAGCTTGATATTCTTTCACTGAATATCATTTATTGTGGGTGACCTCTAGCTCAACAGGTAAAGTTTGTGCCCAATATAGGCTGAGTCCTTTGCAGCTGCGTGGGTTTGATTCCAACCTGTGGCCCTTTGCTACTTGTCATCCCTGTTCCCTCTTCCCCTGTCCTGTAATAAAGGCAAAAAGCCCTAAAAATTATTTTAAAGAATAGAATTCACTGTAAAGGCCCATTTAGAAACATTGGTATGTTTCTATATGGGAACATTTAAGAAAATATAAACCCACTAATTTCCATCAACTACTGTTGTACAAATATTCTCAATAAGACACAGTAAGTTACCCACTGACACCTCTTTAACTGCTTCTTCCCTCACAAAAATATCTAGCATCATGTTAATGATTTTCCTCTGTTGAGACACTCGAGTGACCAGGTGAAGGAGCAATGTCCTGTGTCAACACCAACCTGACAGCCAGTGGGCCTTATTTAAATAATCTACGGCACAGGGTCTAAAGTGCATGTAGAGCATGTCCAAATCCACTCTTGCTAGGCAAATGGCACATAATCTAGGCGCAAAGTAAGGCACACCAGTCAAGGGGTTGTATTTAGTATTTAGTTTAATTGTTTATTATTTAAGGTGTAACTAAAAATAGAATGCAATGATTTGCAAATGCTTTTCGACCTATTTATTTTTAATTTAATACAGTATAAGACAATTTTATTATGTTACACAAGGCTAACATTATTACAAAATGGCCAGACTGCATTAAAAACAGACGCGATTGTATAAAGGGTATCGCTACATGGGCTCGGGAACACTTTGGAAAACCATTGTCGGTTGCTTCATCTACAAATGCAAGTTCAGACTCTACTATGCAAAGTGAAAGCCATATATCAACAACATCCAGAAATGCTGCCAATTTCTCTGGGCCTGCACTGATCTGAGATGGACTGACACAAAGTGGAAAAGTGTGCTGTGGTCTGATGAGTCCACATTTCACATAGTTTTTGGAAATCATAGTTGTCATGACCATGCCCACATCTGTGACAGCATAGGGCTGACATCAGGGGCACATCTGTGAAGGCATCATAAACACTGAAATGTAGGTTTCGGAGCAACGTATGCTACCATCAAGACAACACCTTTGTCAGTGACATCCCTGTTTCTTCCAGTAAGGCAATGCTGAGATACATTCTGCTAGTGTCACAGCAGCGTGGCTTTGTAGTAAGACATGTCTCCCATTGAAAATATGTGGCGCCTTGTGAAGCTCATATTACAACAACACAAACCCAGAACAGCTGAAGTTGTATATCAAGCAGGAATTGGAAATTTTTAAAATTTAAAAAATTAGTGTCCTTTCCAAACACTGAGTGTTGTTTAAAGAGAAGATGTAACACAGTGTTAGACAAACCTCTGTCCCAACTTTTTTGGGACAGAGGTTTGAGTGACAGAGTGACGGTTGTGCTGCGCTGTGCGCCAGGTTTAAGATAGGGCCCAATATCTTTTATCTTTGTTTTTTATGCTCTTTTATTATAGTTTTATTGTACAGGGAAGTTCTGGTTTTAAAACATGCGTTAATTTTTTTTTTTTTTCTATTTCGTTTTCTCTCATCTTCAGGATGAGAACCAGCAGGGTTTATCAGATGAAGATTTACGAGCAGAAGTGGACACCTTCATGTTTGAGGGCCATGACACCACAGCCAGTGGCCTGTCTTTCATCCTCTACTGTCTGGCCTGCCACCCAGAACACCAGAAGATGTGCAGGGAGGAGATCATTCAAGCCTTGGATGGCAAGGACACCATGGAGTGGTAATTTACCTGTTGAAACCCAAGGTGCAATGCAAGTCAGTGCCACTCTGTGTCACAACAGCTGGATTAGGTGAGCTTTAGGCAGTTACTTTTTTCCTGAGAATATGGATAACTAATGTGCATTTGTCTCATCTTAAGGGAGGATCTCAGTAAAATTCCATACACCACAATGTGCATCAAAGAGTCCCTTCGCCTTTACCCTCCTGTACCAGGAATATCCAGACAGACCACAAAACCCGTGACCTTTCCCGATGGAAGGACTATACCGAAAGGTTTGTTCTTAATGTTTATGGAAAGTTCATTTAGATAAGACAGCATGCTGCTGAGTGCATCTTTTACCTCACTGGTAAAATATTAACTTGTATGGGTTATTTTCCAGTTTGACCCAGCCTTAGTTTGTAGATGTAAATTGTAGCAGCATCTTCACAATACTGTCTCATACTTAAATAGTGTAAATGTTGGTCTGTTTATTTGTATACACCTTGTTGTACAGTCGCTGCACAATTCAAGCCCAAACCCACATTTTTTCTTATTTGCAGGTTGTAATGTTGGAACAAGTGTGTATGGACTTCACAGGAATGCAGCTGTCTGGGAAAACCCTGATGTAAGTCGAGATGATGTCATTCTAAGCAGATGTTTTTGATATGTCATTAACAGCAGAAAGTTATTCAATTCTCAGTGGAAAAATTTGGAAAAACAAGGAATGTGTGATTTACTGGCATGTGCTTTTTATTTTGACAACACAGGTCTTTGACCCACTGCGTTTCCTACCGGAGAATGTTTCCAAGAGGTCACCTCATGCATTCGTGCCCTTCTCTGCCGGGCCAAGGTTTGTCCTCACCTGATACCGTGTGACTGGCTCACTAAGAACAAGAGAGGGAGGTTCTCAGTTAAGACAAAAGTCTGCAGTATGTGGATGTGTTACCTAACAGCAGCCTCCTTTTTATCAACACAATAAAAACTATGAGGCTTTATTTGAGGCTATAAGAAATAGGAGAACTCTGTAAACTAGGATTAATCCTATTTAAAGGAGCTGTATTTGACATTTAGAGCATTAATATAGCAGTAAACCACTATTTGCTGTATAACGATATAGTGGATTAATGGCGACCTCAGCAGAGAATGATGTCAAACTACCTCTCTGCATGTTGTAATCAAAGCCTCTCTGTCCAATGTTGTGGACAGTCCGGCCAGGCTGGCATGTTGGTGAGTGAGTTCCTGTGAGTGTGTCCCACTGGCTAGCTAAACACTGCCACTCTGCACTGTATTCATAAGGCGCTTACCGCTGATAGCAGTGTCTTGACTCACAGTGGTGGGACCGCGTTGCTGTAAAACCGTAGCACCCACCATGAAAAAACTGTTTTCACCTGGGGTGGCTCGTCTTATGGAAATCTTTGGATTTAAGGAAACTTATTTCAGCAGAAAAAAACTAGTTGAACAAGGGCTGTACTGAATGTTAATTTATTGCATTCAAAGTTTCTATTGAGGCTTTCAAATCAACCTCCAAACATCTGTCATCGTTTTATATCTGGATACCAGGATTTTTTGGGCGGGCCTGAAATCACGGCTCAATGACACCACAGACCTCCTCCTGTCCTGTGTGCAGTATTACCATAGACTGTGTGTGCTCGTAGACTGTAGAAGTTATGGACATAGTTACAATGACAACACTCATTGCTTTGTGGACTCCCGTTTTGAAGCCTCGAGTTTGGCATGTCGGCAGCCGCCATCTTGGGGTTTTTTTAGATCCAGAAGCGACCATTTTAGCGGTGTGGAGAAGCGACGGATGGATCTGACAGAGAAGCCAGGACATTATCATCAGGAAGCCTGTCACTCAAATGATGTGTCACGTGAAGCCTACTTTAAGCCATCATGAGCTTATCATTTCCACATTTACTGCAACACTATCACCATATCTTTTTGTCCATATTAATTCAACAATATAGATAAAAATTCTGGTACCAACTGATTTGATTTTGTTGATCATAAAACATAAAAGCACTGTGTTAATCATCATATACCTCACATATTTTTACTGTTTTCCACCCTCAGGAATTGCATTGGGCAGAACTTTGCCATGAATGAGCTGAAAGTGGCGACAGCCCTAACACTGAGGAGGTACCATCTGATCGAGGACCCCACCCAGAAACCCAAGATTATACCAAGACTGGTGCTTCGCTCACTGAATGGCATCCACATCAGAATCAAACCTGTAGACCCACAAGAGTAAAAGGAAATTACTGTAGGAAATGCTATAAACCTGGAAAAAATACATTAATCAGTCAGGATTAACTGTGCCGTATTTTATTTAGTGGCTGAATATGTTATTGATTAAATTAGTTGCTGAAAAAGAAGTTGCACTTATAATTTAAAATCCTTTTCTGACACTGTAACAGTTTGTAATGACACATTTTGCACTTTATAAGTTAAAAAAAAAAGTTTTGGAATAACCACAGTAGTATTCAACTTGTTTCTACGGCTCAATCGGAACTTTGATCTCATCTGACATGATGTCTGCTCGAAGACACCCTCCACTCTCAACGATAGGGAGTGTCTAGCTTTTATTTTCATAGCAAAAATGTATGTGTATGGCTGACTCTTGTCATCTTTGGACTTTTCATGTTTGGAGGCTACATTGTGGCACTTTATTTGCTCAGGCTAAACTGGATTAAGCAAGAATGATAGATGAATGCATGCAAGAGTTTGCCACGTTTGATTATCTGCGGCAAATAAAGCAAATAGAGCAAATAAAGTGCCAGTGTCGTGCCAAGGTAGTTGTTGGAGGTGGAGCTACATTAGGCTTGTACTTTTTGATTTCACTTAAGGGAATTTAACATATCAGCATGTGGATTGTTTATCATTTTAATATTGCTGTTTTATCAGGTATGATTTGTAATGTAACACATGGCTCATCTATCAAAGTAAATGTTTTTATTCTTCTGTACATGTTACCAAACTAATTATTCATTGCACTAAATTGAGAATGTCTACTGAAAAACTTGTATCTTTATCCTTTTAAAGCAGTTTTTTCTTGTCCTTTTTTGTGGTAATTAGGTAATGTTATAATCTCCCACAGAGTCAACTACTTGGTCATCCTGTGATACTGTTTGGAGGCTAGTTGTTTACATGCTGTAGGCCTAATTCAACCTTTTTTTAAGGAATTTGTTCATTCAGATACACTAGTCCATACCCATTGGTAGCTTTGTCACCTTCTACCTATGCCAATCCTCAATGCCTGTGTGCAGTTTCACATAGATTGACCACGTCAGTGAGTAGAAAAATGTGAGATAGACAGAATGACTGACTGACAGAATGACACACTGAGAGTTTCCGTGATTATGTACAGCATATAATACCATGACTTATTCATACCAAAAATTAGAAAGAAAAAAAACATTCAGCCCCAGGGGAGCCACAGCGATCGGTCACATTTTAGCCATTTTTAAGCATTTTTCTGTTGTTATAGCACCACCCAGTTGCCAGTTAGAGTTAAATTTCTCCAGTCACCTTGAGGCATCCTGTTCTACATATCTACCAAGTTTAGTAAAAATCGATATGGCTGTTAGGCCTAGATAAGCAATTAGCTCTCTAGTGGCCCCATTTTGTTTGATCGGGTCAATAATGGAGGGGTCCCCTCAGATTATGTGTGGTCATATGCCTACAAAGTTGCGTGGTGATCGGTGAAACCCTTGAGATGTTATACACCTTTATGTGATGAGCCACACCCTCTGCAATATTCATTGCCTTATAGAAGCTCAGTTTTAGTAAGTTTTCCAACTTTTGCCAAGAGGGAACTTTAGATATTGGTCCCTAGATTATGTTCACCGAGTTTCATGCAGATCGCTTAAACTTCCTAGGAATCAATCAATCAATCAATCAATTTTATTTATAAAGCCCAATATCACAAATCACAATTTGCCTCACAGGGCTTTACAGCATACGACATCCCTCTGTCCTTAAGACCCTCACAGCGGATAAGGAAAAACTCCCCCCCTAAAAAAAAAACCCTTTAACGGGGAAAAAAAACGGTAGAAACCTCAGGAAGAGCAACTGAGGAGGGATCCCTCTTCCAGGACGGACAGACGTGCAATAGATGTCGTACAGAACAGATCAGCATAATAAATTAACAGTAATCCGTATGACACAATGAGACAGACAGAGAGAGAGAGAGAGAGAGAGAGATGCAGGTAATGACAGTAGCTTACAACAACATTAATGAAAGTAATATTATAGTTATAGTTCTGGCTACTGTGGTACAATATGTTGAAAGTATGTATTAATATCTGACAGTATACATGTGTGACAATAGTCATATGTGTATAATAACAGTAGAAGTATGACTAATGACTAATGATGGCAGCAGCAGCAGGAGGCATCTGGCAGGACCACGGCAGCAGCACAACCACACACGTCACGCTGTCCAGGCACCGCTGTGATATGAGTTAATCTGAGAGACAGTGGAGCACAAAGGCTCCGGAGAAGAAGCCGAGTTAGTGACATCCAGAATGGCCGAGTTAGCAAGATGCAGTAATAGGATGAGAGAGAGAGAGAGAGAGAGAGAGAGAGAGAGAGAGGAAGAGATCGATTTTAAGTGTTTTTCAAAAAATTCAAAATGTCGGAAAATCTGATATAACCGGAAGTTATGGGTTCTTGAGGCAAATTTGTTCCCCATGAGGAGAAGCATCTCTGTGCAAAGTTTCATGACTCTACGACATACGGGGCATAATATATGTCCATTCAAAGTTTGCAATTTCAATCTGTTGCTATAGCGCCCCCCTTTGGCCAATTGATGTAATATTCCTTCATTCGCATCCTCCCATGACCTTCTACCACTGTGCCAAATTTCACATGAATTGACCAAGTCAGTGAGGAGAAAAACATGGAACAGAGACACAGACAGACACACCCACAGAGTTTTCATCATTATATAGTAAGATAGTTGATACTGTAGGCTATAAGAGCAATGGAAACAAGTAGGCTACCTCAATCACTATCTGTTGTGAAAAATGTCATAAATACAATGGAGTATTATTTTTTATTTTGTATATACTTCAGATCATGCCTAATACTTCTGATAAATATGAAGTTTCTTCTTTAGCAAAGGTTGTAGGGGAGTACAATTTCAGAAAAGGGGCTACCTCGTTACCCCAGCAGGTGGCAGTAATGCACTACAAAGTCGGATGATAACCTCACTAGCTGTGTTCATTTATTCTCTGATAATAAACCTAACTGTTTGGCTATTGATAGATATTTGTCATCCCATTTCAGTAGCTTAACTTACTTTGAAACGACCAGCTGAATGATTGGTACCTCAAACACATGCATTTCCATTAAAACCTTACTGTATAGGTGAGGACAACCAGTGAAAATGAAATCAACTGCTGCTTTGCAGATTCAGATTGATTATATGAAACATTATCAATAAATAAATGATGGTATTATTAACACCTGTTCTAAGGAAATACAAGGGAACTATCATTATAACAGTGGCATTTATGGGCCATCTTAGTTTGGTAACTTTTCTCTATACTTTTATTTCACTATACACACAACTACCGTCAAAGTAAGTAATTGATGTCTCAGCAGGTGGCCTGATGACAACTGATGAGTAAACCACTGAAGTCTCCTCTTTCACCTGCAGTGAGAAATAAAAAAAACAACACATATGATACTAGGTCACTCATCATCATCATCAAGTACACTTACCCTGCCATTCAAGCCACAGCAACAACCATGAACAGGAAATGCTTCGAAGAGATAGAAACAGAATCAGGTGGGACATGCGTGCCTAGCCCAGTGTCAAACCTTTACTTCTGTTTCCAGGCAGCAGACCACTGAACAAACAAACAACAGGAAATTCAGCAAGACAAAGAGCTTCATATCTTACTTGTGTGCAGTCTTAGTCTTATGTACCAAATTGCCAAAAGTGATATTGAAATAAGAAATGTAAGGGCTGCTGATGTCCCATAAATAATTGGAATCAGACACCCGGGCTCTGTTAAACCAAAACACAAGATTTCATATGAGCATAAAGTATGCTTTGGAGAGAGGACTCACAAAGTGCTCAATTATAGTAGATTACCCAGTGTCATAGCCAGAACTTTATTGCAACTAACATTATTGAACTTCATTCGTTCAGTCGTTATCTGTAACTCGTTATCCTGTTGAGGGTCACGGAGGGGCTGGAGCCTATCCCAGCTGACACTGGGCAAGAGGCGGGATATACCCTTGACAGTATGAATCCCCCCACAGGCACGACGAACACAAGTAGTTTTCTCGGAACTGGTTTAATGAAGCCATCCAATCTCCATCACACTGTGAAAACTGTACACAAATAACACAATTGACACAATTAGATATAATAAAATAAAGTAAACTAGACCAGACAAAACGTAGGCTACACACATGTAGCTAGCAATACACTTTGACCAAATAATAAGAAACAAAAAGTACCTCGTGGCTGCATGCCATAAAAGAGGGAATTGTCCATGAAACGGGAGGTGATTGTCCTTAATGTCGTTTGTTGTCTCTTGTCTTGTCCGACAACTAACTTATAAACTTTGTAAATAGCCAAATAACTGCAAGGTCATCTGACAGTCCATCAATCATCTCTTCATGTCAGGGAAAAAGAAAGCGGAAGTACGTAACAGGAAAGGAAAGTGAAAGTACGTCTCCAAACAACGCAAGACCAGGCTTGTAGACCATGTACATAGGAATAATCACATTAATCAAATCATGTATCACTCAATAAAACTACTATGAAAATACAATCATGTCTCCAGTTATTAATATGAAATGTAAACATGTAAATATGTAAATGTAAATAACTATGAATTAACTGTTTATATGAACCAATCATGGAATCAATTATGCATTAATGAACTATATCAATGAACTGTATGCACCATCATGGATACATTTACAGACAGGTTGCCAGACTATCACAGGGCTGACACAAAGAGACAGACAACCATTCACGCTCACATTCACACCTACGGACAATTTAGAGTCACCAATTAACCTGCTTATCTTTGGACTGTGGGAGGAAATTGGAGTACCCAGAGAAAACCCACGCTGACATGGGGAGAACATGCAAACTCTACACAGAAGGGCTCCCCCACCCCAGGTCAGGGTTTGAACCAGGAACCCTCTTGATGTGAGGTGACAATGCTAACCACTGTACCACCGTGCTACCTATTATTGAATTTAGCTAGGTTATGTATTTGCAGAGATAAGAAGAAAATTTGCAAATTTGACCAAGTGTACCTGTCTGCAGCCTGCAGTTAGGGGCGGGCTTACACGTCGATTTGTGATTGGTTAAAAGTCGAATCTGGGCGGGGTTAAATGTCAATTGTAATTGGTTGAAAGTCGAATCTGGGCGGGGTTAAACGTCGATTGTAATTGGTTGAAAGTCGAATCTGGGCGGGGTTAAACGTCGATTGTAATTGGTTGAAAGAATATAACAGAGTCGCGACAAAAGAAGTCTAAAATGCTTGTGCGTCACGTTGACCTCAGGCTGTTTAAATACATAATACTGAGGGACAGAACTCCGATTTTGGTAAGTAGCTGTCAATAACTACATTGATTTATAATATATGTGTAGCACGCCATAACCAGTTACATCTTTATGTTGTTTTTTAAAGTAAAATGTGCTAATATTTGAGGATTAGTGTTAGTTTACTACGGTTAGGTAAGACTCTATTAATCCCAACCTTGGAAATTCACGTTACAGCAGCTTAATACACATGATGTGTAGTATTTTTACTGTAGAAATATAGGAATGTATAGATATCCCCCAGGAAGTGGCAAAATATAGTACTCAGGAATATTACACAGTATGTACACTGTGCACAGTTTAAATATAAGGGATGTGGATAAGGATATGTATTTATATATGTATACAGGCCAGTATATTAATGACATAGCGTAATTATATGATAGAAATGTATTATTACACAGTATAACTATGTGTAATGTGTATATAACATATATTATTGTCTGCCT